TAATTGTACAGGATCATGTATTTTAACCATTGCAGCATTAAATTCTAAATTAGCTATTTTTATCAGAGGATGTACAGTTCCCTCTTCAAAAAATATAAATTTTTCATTATTTAAATGTAAACGTATTTCAATATTTAAATTAGAAGGTAAATATTTGTTTACAAAAAAAAATGGAGAATATAACGGTCCATAAAAATGTGTCGTTTTATTTATAAGTAATTTTTTAACTGGATCGTTAGAATCCCAAGCACTGTTATTATAACCATAAAATCCTGTACTATCATCTGTGTTTTTACCTCCTGTAATCATTTTTTGAATATAACTTTCTATATGAAAATACGGACTAGTAGTTGTTAATAAAGTTCCATTAATATAAATTTCACATTGTTTAAAAAAAGTATTCAAAGGAAAATCAATTACTGATACTTTATCTCCTGCAACTACAGATGTTGTAATCTATTTCAAGCATGTTATCAAAATAACCTATAATAAAAATAACATTATCTTCCCTTAATGCCTCGGTAAAAGTAATATCTAATGTAAATAAACCGTTTTTTTTCTCTAAGAAATGATCCATATTAGGTAATATTGAAAAGGTTAATATATATTCATTTCCGCTTGAACTTTTGTCATAATTAGAAAATGGAGAATACTGATTTTTATAATGTTCAAAATCATATGTTAAATTATTTAAAATTTTTCCATTTATATACATTTTTAAAGCTTTTATAATTTTAGTATTTAATCTAAAAGAATCTTTTTCTTGATTGTCTTTATAATGTTCGCCTTTTACAACAAAAATATTTATTAATTTAGGTACTTCTCCTTGAAATATATCTTGATATATATAATTTCTTAATCCTTTATTACAAAAAACAGTTCTGGTAATAGGATTTTTATAACAATAAACAGCATTATTTTTAAGTAAATGATTTTCTATATTTAAAACTACATCACCATGTATTCTTACTCTTTTAACATGAAAAATAGGATTTTTTACTAATAAATTAAAAGTATGTTGACCTTCTTTATATAAAATTTTATCTTTATTATTTAATCTTACTTTTAATTTTAATCGTACTTGAGATAATAAATATTTATTAATGTCAAAAAATCCTAAATTTAATTTATCTGCTAAAGTTGTAAATTTTTCATTTTTACTATTGTCTATAATATCTTTACAAGTATGATATCTGTTATCACCTCCTAAATTATCACTATTAACAGCTTTATTTAAATAACTATTTGTAAAAGGTAATGTTAATTTATTTGTTTGTAAAGTATATTGGGCATCTGTAACATAATTTTCTATTATTTGTCCATTTAAGCTAACTGCTATTTCAGAAATTAAAGTTTCTAAAGGGTTATCAGCTACCCAAACTACATCTGAAGTTTCAATTTTTTCATATGTTCCATTTTTAACTTTAACTATTTTTACATCTATTGTCATATAACAATTATTTAAATCTATATAATTTTCATTACCTAATATATCAAAAATTAAGGTATCTTCTAATTTAGGAGTTTCTGTTTTTGTAGCTATTGATTCATAAAATTCCTGTTCAATTGCTATATTATTTTGATGACAATCAAAAAATTGTAAAACTTGAGGAAGAGAGGTTTCAAGAAAGTTTTCATTTAACAAAGTTGCCATTATAGGTTTTTTTATTTTTTTTATATTGTAAAATAATATTATAGTTGTTTTATTTATATAGATTCTAGAGGTTCATTTCTTAGGTTTATTTCTTTTGTTTTCTTTTTTTAGCAAGTTTTCTGAATTTTGCCATTCTAATTGCAAATTGTTTTTTTTGAAGTTTTGTTAAAGTTCTTTTCATTTTTCTAATTTTCCTTTTTCTATTTTTCCTAGCTTTTTTATATTTTTTAGTATGATGCGAAGCCATTATTAATATTATTAATATTATTTATATTTTTTTTATTTATATAGATTATTATAAGGCTAAAATAATTTCTTTTTTTTTAATTTTCTTTTTTGTTCTTGAATTCTTTTTTGTATTTTTTTTGTTTTTATTTTTTCATAAGCCTTATCAAATAATTTAGCTCTTTTATATAATTTATTTTGAGGTAATGTTTGTTTTCTTTTGTTTATTCTATCTCTATCCACGAAACTTTGAAGTTTTTTACTTCTTTCTAAATCATTATTCCCAAAAGAATTCCAACGTTCTTTACGTTCATTATTTAATACTTCTTGTATACGTGATTCACACATTGTATCTAATACAGGTGCACCTTTTTTTTTTACTTCTTTTACTTTTTCTATTATTTCTGAAGCTTGATTTTTATATTCTATACCTTTTTTAATAAAATTTCCTATTTTTTTACCTTTTTCTAATAAATTACTCCAATTTGTAGTTGTTATTACTTTACCTATTTTACTAAAAGCACTCATATTTTACGTAAATGTAAAACTAAATGAATTTCTTGATTTTTTTGAGGATTTTTGTTTTGTTTTGATAATATCTTTTTTTCAATTCCTTCAGTCCAAAAATGTAATGTTTGTAATCCTTTGTAACTTATAGGATAATATATAACAGGATATATTGATAATAAAATACCGTTAAAAGGTCCTGTGTATAAACAATGCTGTTTTTTTTATTTAAAAATGAAGTACTATTAATAAAATCACAACTTATTATTAAATCTGTAATTCTTGTAGAGGTAGAAACATGTATTGATAATAAAGCAACTTCCCAACTTTCGTCTAAATCTAAAGGTTCTTTAAAATGATATCTAAAATCTGATACAGTATTATAATCTGTATACTGTTCTTGCAAATTATTTACGGTAATAAACATAATAATATATATATATTTTTAATTAACATTTATTTATACATAATCTTCAGGCAATTTTTTTTATTTTAATGTATTTTGAATTTCTTTTTTATTTAATACTTTTTTAATTAATTTATTCCAAGGTATAATACTTGCTAATACACTTCCAAGAGTCATTGCAATTTTAGCTAAAGGTAAACCCATATTTTAATGCCAAACGTATTTTATTCCGTTTTTTCTTATTACAACTTTTTTCCAATCTTTAAGTGTGTGTACATATGCAGCTTGTTTAGGAGTATAATATCCTAATTCAGATATATCGTGTTTTGGTCTTTTTTTAATTAATTTTTCCCAAGGTAGAAATTTAGTTATAGCAGATGCTGCAACGCCTAACAAAGGTACTATAACTTCCATAAAGTTATAATTTTATTTTATTAATTTCTATATGTTTAGTTTTTTTTATTTATAGAATTTAATAGAGTTAATTTAAATCTATTAACAAATGTATTTCTAAAGGTCTTATTATTTCTTTATTTTTTTCATTAATATTATAAATTGATAAGGTAAATCTTATTTTATCTATACTATTTCCATTTCCAACAGAATAATAATAATGATTTCTATCATATTCTATATCTTTATTTCTTAAAATTGTACCTGGTTTATAAAGAAAATAAGCTATGGGTTCAAAGGGTATTTTATCACAATTTATAATTACTAACCAGATTTGATTTTGTTGTGTAATTTGAGGTATAATTTGTTGTTTAATATAAAATTCTCTTAAGGCTAATCTATGAAAACTATTACTTAATATAGGTTTTTTAAAAATATGTTCTGAAACATATTCTTTTATAAATTCTTTGTATTCTTCTACGTATTCTGTTTGAATATAACGAAAATTATTGACTTTAAATAACATTTCTTTTTTAAATTAAAAAAATTAAAATGTAATTTATGGTATTTATAGATTTTTATAGTTAATTATCAAAATCTATTATCATATGTATTTCTATAGGAGTTTTTATTTCTTTATACTGTTCATTAATATTATATGCTGATAAGGTAAAATATAAATCCTTTATAAGATTTCCATTTCCGATAGAATGATAATAATTATGTTTTTTAATTTTTTTATTTAAGTTTTTTAAATCTTTTTTTAATTTATTTTCTTTTTTTATTTTTATTTTTATTATTATATTTCTTTCTCTATTATATTTTCTAATAAAAAAATCAATTTCATTTTCTTTAGTTAAATCTTTAGGAGCAAATCCATATAAAGAAGGATGTATTCTACTGTTATAAGCTTTAATTACATCATCTAATACATGTATATATTTATAATTTAATTTTGAATGAAAATAACGAAATAATATATTTTTTAATTTACTAATAAAAGATTCTGCAAAAGCAGCTTTATAATTACTAGTTGAACCTATTGAAATAATATTTTTGTCTTTACATAATTTTTGAAATGAAGCATTTAAAAATTCAGAACCTCTATCTGTTCTTAATATTACTGGAGAATCACCATATTCATTTAAAATTTCTTTAAAAGCTTTTGTAACACTATAACCTGTTTTATTTTTTAAAGTTTTGACAAATACATATCTTGAAAAAACATCTATTATTATTAATATAAAAGTAACATCATCATTTTCTTCTTTAATATTAAATACATCCATTAAATCTCCATCCCACATATAATTTATACCCTTCACAATTATTTTATTTGTTTTAACTTTACGACTAACTTTTCTTCTCACACTATAAGAATCTTGATCTTGAAGCCATGCTTGAATTTTTTTTTTACCTATTTTAAATTTATTATCTTTTAAAACATATTTATATAAATCACGTAAACCTGAAAAACCAGCAACATTTTTAGTATCATACCATATTTTTTTTAAATAATCTTTATAACTCATTTTTTTTATTTTACAGAAAATGGATATTTTAACAAAAGCATATATACGATGCAAACCAACTTATCAAAATCAAATAAATGAAATTCAGGATTATATTACTTTTTTAAGAGTTGTATACGTTATTCATCAAAACAATGATTTTTCATATGGAAAACAAATAACAGTTGTGTGCTTGTGTGAAGATTTATATAGAAAATTTAATCAAAATAAATATTTAAAGTTTTTGGAAGAATATAAAGAAATGTTAACAAATAATAATGTAAATTATTTGTAGTTTGAAAATATGAATCCAAACGTAGAAGAAGTTTTTATCGTAGAAGACAATATTGATTTAGTTGAAGAAGTAGTTATTGATTTAGGAGAAGAAGTAGAAGTAAATATGAACCCCAACGTAGAAGAAGTAGAAGAAGTAGATTTAACAAGAGAAGAAGGAGAAGAAGAAATAGAAGAAATAGATTTAACAAGAGAAGAAGGAGAAGAAGAAATAGAAGAAATAGAAAGAAAAGAAGAAGAAGAAGAACTCCCATATAACATGCTCATGTATGTGTCTGATTTGTGTGCAGTTACAGATGAGGAGTTAATGCAAATTATTATTCCTGATGAAGAATTAGATGGTATGGGAGAAGATGAAGTTATGAAGAAGTTTGGAGAAGAATGGAGTGATGAGGATTTAAAAACACCACAGAATGTAAGTATATTTTTATTTTAAAACGCAAACGAAATAGACCAATCATATAGTAATAAAAAACTCGTTCTTTTTATATAAATTAAATGATTTTATTTTTATTTTTTAGAATAATACACAACAAGACTTAGTAATGCCTGCAATAAAAGAAAAAGGAAAGGGGAAAGGAAAGGGAAAAAGAACCAGAAAAGAATCAAATATAGATGAAATAGATGAAGATGATGTAAGTAAAAAATTTTAATTAATTTTAAATTTAAAAAAAAAATTTTTGATTCAATTTTAAATTTTAAAAATTTTTTGATTCAATTTTTTTTTATTTTATTAGATTCCTTCAACTTCAACTGTAGCCATTAGTAATACGGGTAATAGATATGCTGAAAATGATAGCGATGACGAATTAGATGAGCTTAGCGTAAGTTTATTATAGAAATATTAATTTATTATTTTTTTATTTTCCAGTACACATTACAAAAAAAAGATGAAAGAAATTTTGCGAAAGGAACAATCATAGAAACAAATTATAATTTGAAATTTGGAGATAGTTGGAATGATAAGACCATTTTAAAAGCAAATGAAAAAATAAAAAACATATTTGACAATATTTTAAATAATGAAAAAAAAAAACACAAAAAACATGATTTAATTAAAATAATTCTTAGACATCCGGATTTAAATAATGATATTATAATAGTACCACAACCTCTTTCTTCAATTTCTTCAGATTTTATTTTTAATGAAATTGAAAGAGTTTTAAATTCTTATCAAGAAATGCAAATAAATAAAGATATGGATATAACTATAGGTATAGTAAATATACCCCAAGGTTCTAAATATAAAAATGTAATAAATTTTAAAAGATATTTACCAAATAAAAAATCAATAATTGAAATTAAAAATAAAGATAATAGTTGTGGTTATAGAAGTATTGTAGTAGGTTTAGCAAAAATATGTCAAACATCTTTAGAAGATTATAATTTAAAAAAAAATAAAGATTTAACAACCTTTGATAATTTATTAGTTAATAAAATATGTAATTATGGGTTTTATAAAAAATTATTATGTCAAAATATAAAAAATAAACAAAAAAGAAATCATTTAAAAAACACTACTGAAGAACTATGTAAAAAAGTATCTCATGATATTACAACACCTTTAAATATAGCAGATATATCTAAATTTGAAGATTTTTTAAAAGTTAATATTAATGTTTTAAAAAATACTATAGGTAATAAATTTATATATACAAGAAATGATTATTCACAATCTATTTTTTTATATTTACATGATGAACATTATGATACAATAATTTCCATGACAGGTTTTTTTAAATCAAATTATTTTTGTAATCAATGTAAACAACCTTATTCTCACAAAACAAAACATAATTGTAAAGAAAATTGTAACATATGTTTAACTAATTGTGGAGAAATTATTAATGAAATCTTATTCCGGGGGTTTCATAGTCAGGTAATATTACTTACTGTAGCATTAAAATATTGATTGAATACAGAAAGGAACACGCTCGTAAATTCAAAGAGGGTAGAATTACCCAAAAAGCAATATGGGAAATTATTGCGATTGAATATAATGCTACCAGTGATGATAAGTCTCAGTCTGACACTTGTATGCAAGGGAAATCAAAGTGGCAGAAGCTTGGGCCCCTATTCAAGCAGGTCGAAGATAAAAACAGAAAGAGGGGAGTGTACACACTCATTTAAATACATGGAGGAAAGGGAAGAAGCTGTTGGGGACAACCCCAAATAATTGTCCGGCTAAGACTTTTTCCTCCATAGATTTAAATAGTGTAACCAAGAAAATTGAAAAGGAGGTAAAGGGGAAATAACCCAGGAAAAGAAACTACCAGATTCATTGGGGGAAATGGAAATGAGGAGGGAGACGGAGGAAAGCCTGAGAGTATTGTAAAAGAAATTATTAAAGAGAGGTGTGATTTAATGAGAAGATTTATTAGTGTGTTCAAGAATTTGTATACTGCCACTAGTTCAGTGAAAATGGACGTCACACTAAACTCCAATATATATAAATGAACTAAGTTACATGGTTTAGAATTTCTATTCCTCTGCTATTGGAATTTCTGATTGTAACAACAAAATCTTTAAAGAACTGATTAAGAAAAAAATCTTTAAAAAAATTTAAATTATCAGATAAACATATTTGAACAACTTATATTTAGGTTTTTCATTTATATGCAGAGGAAACAACTACCCAGGTTTTTTCAACAATTCAATCCAATAAAACTGAATGCAGCTTAATGAATGTTCAAGTTTTTTACCATAATTTGACAAATTATAAATTTTTTTGTAAAGTTAAAAAGTTTTAATTTATATATATTAAGTATTGGAAAATTTCGAACTACAGAAACATTTGCTAATGAAATTATTATCCATATTATGCCTTTTTATGACCGTCCCAAGACAATTGTGGACCAACCCTTAGATTTATCAGTAGAAAATACCCGTACTACCGAAACAGATATGTCTGATGACAAAAATAGTTTTATTGATTGAAAAAAAACCCAATGGTGTTTGGAGCTTAAAGAAGATAGATGTGAATACGGCCCACAATAAAGAACAATGTTAAGACTCCCGATTGCTTTTCGCTGGAGCTCAATCATCTTACATGTCACATCCCCGTAGAGAAAGCATACATTTATGCCGCAGAAGTAAGAAGTCTCGTTACCAGATACGACTGATACCTGTTGGTACCAAAATGATTATCAAAGGAGAAAGGTGCTATATACTAGATGGAAATATGCACGAACTTGACATTTGGACCATTTTCGATGTTAAAATAGAGTTTGGTAGGTTTTGATAGGTAGATCCTTATTTTTAGTTCTAGACGAACTCATCTCCCTTTTGGGGTGGGGTTGCAATTTAGGGGTAAGGATGTTTGTATATATGTAAGATTATATATTTTTACCTGCTCAGTTTCTTGTTCGTGTTGTGTATGAAAAATATTGTTATTACTATTACATGTGTAAATTATATTGATATTATTAAATTAAGTGATAATATTGATCATATTAAGATTATTTAAATGATTTTTGTATGTTGTTTTTGACACTCAAGTAGTAATGATAATATTTGAAAACGTGTTCAATTAAATATATGGAATTGAGAGGTCTGTCTGTAAAATTGAAGCAAAAACAGGAGGAGGCCGTAAAACACATCCTACAGGGTAGAGATGTAATCTGCAATTTGCCAGTCGGATATGGAAAGAGCATAATTTTTCATGTCATACCAGGTAAAAATTATGATATACATGATTATATTGGTTCCAGTAAAAAGATTGATTGATTGATTGATTGTTGGTTGCTTAACCTCCAGTGGCAAATATTTCATGCATATTCAGGACGAGAACAAATGAACAATACATGCAATAGGTAGGTTCTGTAAAAGGGGCGTCCGGGATTAAGGGCAGAGAAATTTAGACTGCCACGGGAAATGAGGGTATATTGGATAGGGACAGAAATTTAGCCTTGCAAAAGGTCACCTACGGACCCCTCTAAGAGTTGTTGCAAGGGTTCTTAACGTGCAAAGAGCGTGGTACTCTCTTAACACGAGGCATCGGATTTAACGTCCCCATTCTGACCGGACGTGGCTGCAAATTTGTACATCCCGCACAGCCAAACGGACGCCCCACTTTAGCAAGGGTTTTACTGCCGGTCGGAGGAAGACCAATGGTGACCATACTTCTATTCCCCCTTGGGGGTTCCAGTAAAAATAACCCATTTGATGCATTATAGTTTCAATTCTGAAATTATATACGAAGACAGATCATATTGTCTTTAGGGGAAATATTTATTAACCTAATAAACACTTTGAGGGGTATATATATGTGGCAAGCTAATTTTAGATACTTTGAGTAAGTACATGTAATATATAATTGACAGTTTTAAACGTAAATTTTATCAAAGATTTAAACATGTTGAAAAACCTCCAAATATATAAATAAATATAAAAACTTGGAAACTATTATCAAAGTATCAGTGTCATGTCATGTCATGTTATCATCTAAACTATTAAACGAGAAGACCTCATTTTGTGTGTCACTTCTCTTCCTTCCCCAATAAATTAATCATCATGCCTCTGTGTCCTATAGGTATCATGCATAGTCGCATTTGTCATCCATTCTTATGATTATTCAGTTCATGTTATTTTGGGAGAAAAACGAAGAAAAAGGCGTCCGGATATTGTTTCCGACATCAGACCGACTTTTAAGTCATACCCAAAACTTCCTATTTTAAATTTAAAGAGGGGGTAAAGGGTTATTTTCGTGCAACGTGTTTGCCACTTTTTATTTCACGTGCAGCCGTGAAAAAGGTTCGTTATTCACGGTGTTTCTTGAAATCGATAAAAAGATCAACGTGCAAGAAATTTTTAATTGTTCCCTCATCGTGAAATGGCAGTTTTATTTCGCGTTCTTTCGTGAAGATACCCCCCCCCCCCCCCTTTTTACAGGCTTTACTCCCCTCATTAAACATAATTTTCCTAATTACTCGGGGACATGTTATAATATAACAGTGATCGCCGTGGAGAAGAAATTTGGAAATGATAGTTAATAGCAAATACACTTTATTTATATTATATGTATGTTCATAGTATACAAAAACAAACCCGCAAAAGTCATGGAATTTATGGAAAAAAGGGAGAGGGCTAAAATAAATGTCCTGTCTCCAAGTGCCTATGACTGTCATGACTCAATTTAATACCTTTTCTGAAATTCTCCAGACATAAAATCTTTTACAAACATTCATCCTACAACAGTTTACATACTTTCAACCGAGCTCTAAATACCCGCGGGTGTGGTCTAGTTTAAATATAAAAATAAAGAGATGTGATATGATTGCGAGAGATCAAATGATGAGGGTAAGTGTAGGTTATCAATGGTTTTCCTAACGAGAGGGTGTTCCTCAGCTACAATCCTTTTGAAGGGAGACAGATTTTAAATGTGACCAAGACACATCCCCAAGTTTGATGAACATTGATAATATGTTGGACCTATGACCTAGTTGATGTGACACAAGCGAGAAACATGATATGAAAAATTACTACAACAAAAAAAGATCAAAGGAAATAATTAATACACATAATAAAAATAAATGCAATTATAGGTCATTCCACAATGATAGAGAAAAAAAAACATATCTTACAATAAGCTATAAAATGCCAGAAAAAATTTGTAACAATTCATATAAAAAATGGCCTAACTTATACAATATAATATAGGAAAAACAAATATGACAGACATGAACCGACTACAACCACTGAATTAGAGCTAACAGTCCAGCAATCACCAGATACCTACATGTATATACAGGCTCCTAACTTGTGAAATGTGATGGGTTTAAGGAAGTTTGTGAGCAACAAACCTCCAATTGGGACAGTGGTGTTAATGCAATGTCCCCCTTTTTTGGAAAAAGGGATAAAATGTGTCTGATTTCATTTCCAATACATTTATTTTATGTTACTCATTGTGTATACAGAACTTTTTAAACAAGAGAAGAGTGCCTTTAAGGTGTTGGTTGTGTGTCTCCTAATAGCATTAATGGAGGACAAGCTACATAGACTAAAGAGTTACAAAAAAAAAAATCAGCTTTATTCTTTAAACAAAAAAAACAATAGTTATTTCCCTGGAATATTTAATAAAATTAGTAAAAGTTATCTATCTTATACCCGATAACCGTTGTTATCAAGCGGTAGATGAAAACTAATGAAAACCGGTGACAGCAAGGATCGATTTCCGAGTTAATGAGCTCCGGTCCTTGCTTGGAAGCTGACATTTTGTCTT